CACCCTCCTCCCTCCTCCCCCCCTGCGACGGAGGAAACCCGTGTACGGGTCAACCCGACGACGGTACGCGGTCCCCGGTGCAAGTCCGGAGAGCGCTCTGCGTCGCTCCGACCGCCTCCGTAGTACCGAGATCCTCTCTGCGAGCCACTCTTCGCCTGTTCGCGCGCGCGCGCGCGCGCGCCTACCGGGACCACCGCACCACCGGGTGTCGTTCACCGCTGGCTGATGTGCGTCCCGATGCTTTAGAGATACGGGCACTCCGCACGCGTTACACACGTACGCATATACATATATACGTGTTATACATATATATATATATATCTACGTACAATATATATATATACACGGCCGGGCGGCGGAAGTGTTTTGCTCGATCCTTCTTCGTCTCGCGCGCGCAGTCTGTGCGCTGTACGGATTAACACGGGGCCTTTAGATCGCCCCGCTGTCGGCGACGCTCGATCTCATTGGCGATCTCCCGCCGAGTTGTCGGGTACGGCCCATCGAGAGAAGCGAACCCGCGCTCGTGTCGTCGCAGACCGGAGACACCTCCCTGACACTTGGACGCCGAGCCCGCCGAGCCACCATCGAGCTCCCGTCCGTGTCCCGCCCTGGACACGCTGATTCGCCCGATTCGCCCGCCACACGACGGGTTATGTTTCCCACCTTCATCGGGATCCTAGGTGAGTCCGTCGTCGGCGCCGGTCGTCCCGCCGGATGGCACGCGTGACGAATTGCCGGCCGATGTCTATCTGTATCTATATTGTTCCTTTTTGCGACGCTGTAAGCGATATACTAGAAATAATTGTGTGTGGCAGCGGGTATATAGAGACGAGACTCCTGACTTTCAAGCTACGCGATATTCTCCTGTTTAACCCGTTACTAGATCTTGAATGTTTTCGAGTCGAGAAGAAAGTTGATTGAACGATATACATTTGTTAATTGTTACTAAATCTACATATAATGTTTGTTTTAGAAATTTGCATGAATTTATTTCTCTATTGTGAAACATATTTCAACAGATTATATATTTTTTTTTATTACGGAGTTTATCCTGTTATAAAATCTTGAATGTGTTTCAAGTCGAAGGGAGTTGATTGAACGTTGATGTACATTTGTGATTGTCACTGAATCTGTGTATATAATATTCAATCCTGAAATTTGCATGAATTAATTTCTTTACTCAAACATGTTTCAGAGGACTTTGTATTTTTTTGTTGTTGTGGAGTATTGGTGTGTAATTACACTATGTTTAAAATTGTAAAAGTCATTGTTCCATTTAAGTAATTAAATCGTTTATCGTGTGTCTTTTATTGTGTCTTCGATCGGAATTAATGAAGTGAGTTAAGGTGGATTTGCAAAGTGGAATGGTGTATTGATTGTCATGAATAGGCGATTGTGTTTTGATAAGTTAAATCAAGTCCAGGGGTATTTTTCGCAAATTTATATATTTAAGTGTAGAAAGATAAAAGTAATTATTGATTGTATTTAAGAAATTTGAAGACAGACAGTATTCTTGAAAAGAATTGTTTTGTATTTAATAACCATCTCTCAGTTTATATTTTTAAACATACCATTTATTTTTTGGTTTATATAAAAAAAGATGGTATCAAAGAGTTGTATTTCAATTCAAAGAATGTTTTTATTAAATGTAATGTAAAATGTTTAATGAGAGAATACAAATATTTTGGAAACGAAACTTTTTTTCAATATATTCTAATGGAAAGTATATAGAATTAAGATTTATTGCTAATTAGAGTATAGTATTTTTTTTTTTTTTTTTTTCCAAATAATTTTAGTTAAGATTCCAAATAGTTTCGTCTAAGAAATGGATACAATTACAATTACATTCATTTCAAATAGACAGCAGGATTAAGATCAAGGAACTTTTAACTGTTCCTTTATTTTTTAGACATTCAATCGTGGTGGGAGGTGCCAAGTATAGCACACTTTTGCTCATTATTTAGAGCTGCCTTCAATCTTCTGGATTTTGATATTGAGGTATCTAATCAAATGCTAACTCTCTTATGAGTAAGCAGCGTATGTAAAGCCCATTAGTACCGCTTCAGCATTTAGGCAGCGAAACAGCTGTCACGCTTCAGCTTTAATCTTATTATTTATTTGCTTATACATCATTTTGTTCTCTCTTCACTATGAATGAACTATATGCAAAATGTGTTCCAATGTTAACGTCAAAATTGTAGGATTTGGAAGAAGCTTTATTGACGGACGGAGGTACCGAAGGACGACTGCTTCAAGAACTGATAGTAAAGTTACTGGAGGGTTGCTTGCCAAATGACACTCGCAATGACATCTCTACTTTTAATTATCAGATGTTTCTGCGTAGACTTTTCCGCAAAAAATGTCAAGTATGTATTAATCTCAGTGTTGGATCTTGCAACGTAAAATTGTTAGTTTCTTTGATCTATTGATAGTAAAATGTAACTAAAACGTTTATTCATTTGCACAGGAATACAAATGTGAAAATCCTTTCAACACAGACGTAGACTTTGAATTGTTACCGCTTCGTCAAAAGGTAGAAATACTACGTGCCCTCTGTGACTTCAGGCTCGACGCCGAAGACGTAGTACGTAATAGATTATTGCAAATTATAATAATTTTACATATGCATCTTTTAAACGATTATTTGTAATCAAATGTAAAATTAATATCAGGAGCAGTCGTTGAGCAACTTGGACTCGGATAGCCTGCGAGTCGAACCTTTGGGACATGATCGTAAGAATTCTGCCTACTGGTACTTCTACGGCACTCGACTGTACCGGGAGGATTACATTGATACTTCTAACAGTGCCTCACACAAACAGAAAAGTAAGCCAAGGGATAAAAAGCGTAAAAAACGACGGAACAGAGTGGCGAAGGAGGAACAGGAAGAGGAAGAGAAGGAGGAAGCTAGTTTAATAAATAGCGGCAACGACGGACGAGAGAGCGTTTGGCAAGTCGTTTGTTTTACCCAACAAGATTGGAGCAGATTGGTTGAAAAATTTCGTGATTCGGTAATAATTATTCCTCTGTGCTATTAAAAGCTATGAATTATTGCAAAATTTGAAATAAAATTATTATATGTTTTGTATTTTAGGAATACGACACCGAACGCAAACTTTATCGTACTTTATCCGAAGACTTTATGCCGGAAATACCAAAATTGTTCGATTTAAAAGAGAAACAGCAACGGCGTAAGCTATTACAACGTAATAGCTCGCGAGTGCTTCGTAGCCAAGAACCTGCTACACAGATGGATGCAGTCATGGTCAGATCCAAGATCAGGACTAAAACAACCAAAGGGACTAAAAAAGGGACGCAAGCTTCAAAATCTTATATTAAGGAGGAGACTTCTCCGCCGTTACCGACGCCACCGGTTCAGAAAAAAGGACGGCAAACAAACAATTCTTTGGCCTCGGCTGTTGGTCAGATTGTAATTCATACTAGGGATGAAGTAGAAGACTTAGAAAAGAAGAAGGGTGTCGGTAATCATGGCGATGGTAATTACGTATCTCATAATTATGGCTACAAATATGGCTATTCCTTCGGTATCGAGGAGGAGGAGCGTTGTGTCGGCATGCACAAAGTTCTTGAAAGTGTCAAAGATCACGTGGATGCCTGGCCATTCATTGAGCCCGTGGATGAGGATTATGCGCCAAGGTACAATTTCACTTAAACAATTTCGTGATTAATATTCGTATTTAACATTAAATTTTGAATAATGTGAATAATTTTTATAGGTATTATAGTGTGGTGCGCAGGCCAATGGATCTTAAAACTATGGAAGAGAAACTGGAAAATGGCTCGTATAAAAATTTAAATCAGTTTAAACGCGATTTTCGGCTTATTGTTGACAATTGTAGGCAATACAATGGCTCAGATAATGGTTTGTGATGCTTTCATCCAGTTTTTAAATTTTTTGTATCACTAGTGCTTCATTATGTATGTTATTATATGTCGGTAAAAAATCTTACAATATATTTTATATATTCCAGAATACACGGATATGGCGATTAATCTTAAGGAAGCCTTTGACAAAGCCGTAAGTCGATATTTAGAGTCAGAGACATCCAGTGACGAAGACGCTACATCTCCTCGGTCACTGGCCGGATCGCCTACATCTTTATCATATCCTTCACGTCATTTACCTTCTTCGCAACATAACGCACGTAAACGTTCGAAAAAATCAACAAAAAAGTCCAAATCATATAAACCTGAGAGTAAAACAAAGTCTAAGAATAACGAAAAAGTAGACGAAGATGAAAAGAGAAATAAAAGTATTAAAGTTGCGAAAAAGAAAAGGGGAAAGAAAAAAGGTAAAAAAGTAAAAGAGGAAGAATTGGACGAGGATGAGGAGGAACAGGAGGATCAGGAAAATGAAGATGCAATATCTGAAACTAGTATCGTAACGTCAAAGAGAAGAAAAAACGTTGATGTAAATAGTTTACTTAAAACCAAAAAACAATCTAAGGAATCTGAAGGATTGAAAACATCTAATAAAAAGGCGAGCAAAGAACGACATCAATCGAAAAAAGATTCGGAAATTGTACGATCTGCCAAAGAAATGAAAGAAAACAAAAAGCGGAAGGAGGATTTCGAGGAAGATTACGAACCTCCAGTAATTGCGAGAAGTAAAAGTAGAAAGATAGAAAAGAAAGAACTTGAAGAAATTGCAATATTGACAGACAATACTAAGAAGAGCAAATTAAAAAAGATCGAAGTGGAAGAAAGTGACACAGTATTTGAAGAGGATAAAAAACAATCTTCCTATGTCAAAACGAAAAAGAATCGTAAGAAAGAAAAGTCGAATTTAAAGACTATAACCAAGTCTGATGAAAAATCCGACAAGAGTTATATAAAGCAAAAAAATAAGAAATCAAAACAAAAGGAAGAATTAAAAAATGGAGAGTTAAAGAGTCAAACAGATTCCAAAGATGTAGAATTAGAAAGTGCTTTAGATTCCAAACATACTCACATCTCTAAGAAGCTCTCCACGTTAATTGGTAATAAAGATGTAGACTCGCTCGATAGTTTAAAGGATAAGATAAGCGATAGAAGACGGGAAGAAAAGTTAAAAAACGAAAAAGAAAAACAGAGGAAAGCGGGGAAAAGTGACACTCACGGTGTCCATTCCAAAAAAGTGCCTTCAAACAGTAGTACTTTTCACGACAATGATAAAGACAGTGCAAAGCGATCAAAGTCGAAGAAAAGTACGAAGGAAGATAAGACGGATGATACAATTAAGAAACATGATCCGGAAATCAGTGAAAGTAAGAAAAGCACTCATGCTAAACATACCAAAGGACTGGGAGCAGAAGAAAACGCTACGATTCAAGCATTAAATCAAGCGACGGAGAAAACACTTCATGTAAGCTCACAAGATATTGTCTTTGAGATTAATTTGAGATTTTTATTAGAATATACATACACATATAAGACATAAATTTTAAAATTTTTTTAAATTTAATAAAATCTATTTTTGAAAAAAGTAACACATGTTTAAAGGTAAACTAATAGTTAAAAATTTTTAACTCTATGCAAAGACTATTTTTAATTTATATATCGATAGTTCTGCATATATCATCAAATATTAATAAATTACACTGTATCAACAAGGTACTTCTGAAATTAGTATGCTTAATTCGGAAATTTACATTTTATTTTGATATTTATATTCTGTGAGTTATACTGATTTGATCTATTATATGCGATAGGACATTAACAAGTGGCTTGACGACGCGCCCAGACTTTCGGGCTTTTCTTCCGGTAGTGATTCGCCAGTGCTTCATACCTCTTCGATTGAATCCAGTCGATCAGGATCCAAAGTCGAGGCTGCGCGAAAAAGACCAAGCTCTATCAAAATATTTGGTCCTCATGGACCGAGTCGACCGAAGAAGATACAGCGTACAATCGATCGTTTGCAACCTGGCAAAAGTAAGGGAAATTTACTTCTGAAGAAACCGCTTAATGTGCCCAGCGCTAACGCCAGTGATGCCGCGAATTACTCTAACAGTGATAACGATCAATCGAATAAGGATAACGATGAAGAGCCGAAGCTCAGTTTAGGTACTGTGTTGAAAAACGTAGATTCCATCCAATTAATCTGCAAGAGTTTAGTATCGTCACCTAATCCTAATTTGTCGAACGACGAGGAAGAGGACCACTCTTTTACCACAACTCAAATGGCTGTTAAAGAAGAAAAAAGTGCTAAAGAAGCTACGAAGCTATCGAGCACAGTAGAGGAGAAAGAGGCAGTTCGATCTGGTACGGATGAAGCGCAGAAACCGAAATCTGCCACACCAAATTTGAGTGCCTGGATCAAAGCCTTTGGAGCGCCAAAATCAAAAAAGAAGGACGAGGAAGCGGAAGAGGCTGCAATGATAAAAAAAGATGGGGATTCGCAGGAAGCATTTTGCGGCAGGCAACGACGACTGAGCACCGGTGGTAGCAGTGTCAGTGAATCGGTATCTAGTTTCTCTCAGGAATCTCCACCGGCGCTACGCGCGGCTCATTCCCCGCAGTGCCAGCCCGTGATAACTCAAACTGAACCAATAAGAGGTGCGGGATTTTATCAGGATGCACTGTCGGCTGGGAGCAGTCCCTACAACAGTCCCTATTACGCGACCCCACCAAGATACAGCGCGCAATTGCCACCCACTCCATCACCGCAAAACCATCCGTTGTCCCCGGCCTATCCATCTTACGAGCAACCACCATCTGTCTATCCTCAGGTACACACGCAGCCGCCATATCAATCGCCGTATCAGAAATCGTCGCCCCAAGATAACGCTGAGGCATATCCGCAAATGTCTCCGCAACGTTTCCCGCAACAGTTACCAGCCAGCAATCAGAATCAATCACCCGTTTATCCCCAACACTCCCCGCAAGCGATACAGCCAGTTTATCCTCAACCGTCGCCTCAAACACCACCGTCGAATTATTCACAACCCTCGCCGCAACAACCAGCTACCCCGAATTACTCGCAACCATCTCCACAACAGAATGCGGTCGCCAATTATTCTCAGCCTTCTCCCCAGGCGGTCACAAATTATCCGCAAGCTTCTCCACAACAGCAGCACTCCCCCTACTCACAGTCGTCACCTCAAACACCGCCAAATTACTCGCAACCATCTCCGCAGCAGCACTCTCCATATGCGCAATCCTCGCCTCAACAACCTGCTGGTTATGGTCGTTTGTCGCCGCAACCACCGCCTGCGAATTACTCCCAATCTTCGCCTCAACCACCCAACGCGTACGCGCAGCCATCTCCTCAGCCGCCGAATTTCTCTCCGTCGTCACCACAAACGCACCCGGCTAACTATTCTCAGCCATCGCCGCAACCTCCAAATTCGTATCCGGCTCCGCAACACGATCGGAATTACTCGCAATCATCGCACCAGCAAATTCAGACTTTTCCCCAGCATTCGCCGCAAGCATCATCTCCGTTCTCCGAACCGTCACCGCAGAACAGTCCATATTCCCAATCGTCGCCGCAATCGCTGACCAATTATCCGCAATCGTCTCCCCAGCAACCGGCAACGTACTCACATCCGCTACACTCGCCGCAGACACCGCCAAATTACTCGCAGCTTTCGCCACAACAGACATCCGGAACGGCAACAGCGACGGCGGCGGCGACAGCAGCAGCAGTGAATTATTCGCAACCATCGCCTCAGTCTCGCAATTATCCGCAATCCTCTCCTCAACAAAAACCTACGTGCAATATTGCACAACCACCACAACAATCACCTGGTTACCCTCAATCTTCTCCACAACAGACCGCCAATTACTCTCAGCTTCAGTCGTCGAAGAACTCGGAGGAGTACGCTGCTCAAGCTACGGTGCCACCTGCGAATTATCCTCAGGACTTCAAACAAAATCCCTCGTACATTCAACAATCACCTACGATATCGTCGTCTGTAAACGAAACTGAACACCGGACGGAATACCTAAAGTCTAACACCAATGAAAAACCTGCGACGAGCGATCAACAGAGAAATTTTCCCGTTCAATCGGAATCATTAAATTTGAATGCGAATCATCAGATCTATCAGTCGCCGAGTCAGTATCCTCCAACGTATCCAAACAGTTTTTCCAACGTCGAGTTGCAGAGATCTGCTTCGAGACACAGCAGTCAGCAACAGACACAGCAGCAACAACAATCGACACCACAGGAGTCGCGGACCGGTTTTACCGAGATACAACCACGCGGTTTCCTCGGCAAAGCACCGTCCGGTAGCAGTGATCAATTACCCACACCTGCATCAGATCAACCGCAGTTGTTGGCATTTCAACAGAACTTGACAACAGCCCACGAATCGCTCTATCCAAGTGGCTTCCAGCCATCCAGTTACTCGCTACCGCCGAACTCGAGGCCAGTGTATCCTAGTCCGCATTATTTCGACGCCGGTTCCAAGTCTGCTGGAGGTGGAGGAACGTCTGGTAGTCCCTCCAACAATCCTCCTCCGATGAAGAAACGTGCGTACGAGCCGCCTTCCAGCGAGTCCAACACGCGAGGTCTGCCACAAGAGAGCACAGTGACGCGTCCGAGTCAAGAGCAGTTTCCGAGTTTCGAGCCGATGATGACTCTTTCGCAACCAGAAGCCGTATCGGTCAGTCAGTTTGATGGCACGCCGTTCGTCGGTGGCTTGGCCGATTCTATGGCGACCAATTCGGCATATGCGCGGCTTAGCCTCGGTCTAGTAGGTCGGGCATCGAGTAAGGAGCAGCAGCAATTACTAACAATTCCACGACCACCACCTGGGACGAAGTCAGAGCATCTCGCCGCTTACGGTCGCAGTACCGCGCCCGCCGAGCTTGAACAGCTTAATCTGCTACAAAGCTTGCAGGCGGCTAAAAACAGCCAGGGTATTCTCGCTATATCGCGACGATCTGGTGAGAGCGATGTGCGAACGACTCCTATGAGCGCGATAACGCCCACCGTGACGCCGTCCAAGACGAAGAGGAGTCGGAAAAGCAAGCATCCGCAACAACAGGAACAACCGAGCGCAACAGTCGCGGCGACGACCGTAACGACGACCTCGGTCGTCGCAGCGGCCGCCGATCAGCAGCAAACTGCTGGAATGCCTGCTTTCCCGCAGTACGCGACCGCCTCCGCCGCGACTGCGGCCGATTCCATCAGCGCCTTGAAGACAGCTGCGGTGGCGGTACCGCCACCCGCAGGTAGTGCCTTCAACTTCGCCGCCTCCGCCAGCGGTGCGACCGCCGGCCATGCCCCGCCGTTCCCCTACGACAAGGAAGCTACCGCAGCGGCCGCGTTTGCCTTCCTAACCGATGAGTTTCGCAATCCGGGCAGTTACTACAACATGGCTCTGCGACAGCAGCAACAACAGCAGCAGCAGCAACAGTCGCAGCCGCCTATGGTACCGCCGACGGTGACCAATGCCTCCGGTCAGCCGACTGCCTGTAACAAACTCAGTAATCAACCACCACCGAGGAACTATCCGCCGCCTCATTCATTTCTTCACTCGGCCGCCGCAGCAGCTGCCGCCCAGAGATCAGCAGCGGCGGCGTATGTTCCGCCGGTCTCCGCTTACGTGACGCCACATGGGCCCAATCTAACGGTGGACCAGGCCGCCTATCAACAATATATCCATTCGCTCTACGCCCTCCAGCCACCACCACATCATCACCGACCATCCTGGCTTTAGCCACTAAGATCACTACAAAATCGGTCCGTGATTCGATGATGACAGATTACTCTTCTAACGGATTTTGAAATGTACCGCGATGAAGGGAGAGCGTTTGTTTGAGATCCAAAGGGATACCAAATATTAATCGAAAGTCTCTTGGCGAGCGCGCGAGAGAGCAGTGTATGCCCTTTTTATCTTATCTTGTCTGTTTTTTTTTTTTTTAAACTCACAAGGGACATCCTCCTCGCGACTTGTCTTTTCTATTGTTTTTTACGTAATTGACGTCGTATCCGTAAGGCTCTCTACGGAATTAGGTGAATAACCGTTTGTAGATTTCTTTGACTGCAGCTTCCTTTTTACGAGCAACCGTCGTAACTCGAGTAACTTTGACACTTTTACACCGTTCGTCGAAAGCGGAGAAGCTTAGCTTCAAATATGTACATAAAGGACAAGTCTACTTTCGATATAGGAATTTTTGATAGTTTTCTAAAACGAGATTAACCGGCAGGTTCAATAGCTCTAAGTCGAGATCGCTAGCGCCGAGAGTAAGTCGATTCACAAGTTGTCTATCAAAAGTTCCTCCGTGTGCAACGTCGGAAAAAACATATTCGCGAATAAATAACATAAATATACATTGCTCTTTCCAGCAAAACAATCATACAGTGAATTGTTTCATTTTTGTTTAACATGTTCCATGCTGCCATGAGTCACTGTTAACAGCAATTTGTTGAACTTTTTGTTCAGACAATATGAAGTATTTTCTTTAAAAACATCATGTGACTACACAATTAGGAAATAAAGGCTCTAATTGCTATATGACGAAATATAAAATAATTTCTGATACCATAAATGGATTTCCATAAATGGACATAATTATTATATATGAAATATTGATACAATTAGCCTTTTACTTTATAACTATTTTTAATTATTATAAAGTATTACAAAATATATTATTTTTAAAATAAATTAATAAACATAAAATGAGTCATATCGTGATGGTCGAATCACATTACAATTCGCGCAGCACGAATCATTGGCAAACAACAAGAATATTGAAAAGTATCTTCTTGATTTGTGGATTTATTTGTAGATTGCCAGGAAAGGCTTTGGGTGGCACACACTTAGAGACGTTTTCTTATTTTGATATAATAGATGTTTTATTTGGACTTGACTACAATGTCGCCCATACAGAAGAACGGTTCACGTAAGACTCCTAATGATTCACTGTTAGACAATGTCATCTGTAAGTCTTGCTGGAAAGTGCTCATTACATATTTGCGTGTATAATGTATACGTATAATATACATCGTGTGTTTTATGCACGATGTATCGCAATACACGTTATTCGCGAATGCGTTTTCATCTGATGTTTACCTCTACGTCGGCAAATGCACGCGCAAATGAATTTTGCACGTGTCCTCGTCGGTGTGTATGTGCGTGCGTGCGTATGCGTCGGGACACGGAATTATGCAATATGCAATTTTTACGTTTTTTGTTAATTAGCTGATTGACGGGCGTCCTCCCTCTCTGTAGCTCCGCCGTTCGGGTCCATAACTCGCCGAGTGTCGTCTAGCCGTCGGGTTTTCCGTTTGATTTTTCCGTTCGGTTCGGTAGCGAAGTAATCGTCAAACTCGTAGATGGGACTCCTGCAAAAAAAAAAAAGCCGAAGAGAATTTTTCTGTGTATAATAATTATCGAGCGCGCTCTGTTGCTAATGTACGTTATGTAGATTACTTAGCGTCGTAAGAAATAGCACGTAAGGGAGTTAGGCTTTCTTTGTATATATATAAAACACATATCTCGTGTAGAGGACGATGTGCTCGATCTTGATAGGATCTCTACGTAACGAGGGATCTGTGCAAAGAGATCCGGAAGGAAAATATAGTATCGGTCGTGTGACGAGCTAAATCTCGTGACGTGGAAGAGAGAGAGACGTGACTTTTCTGTTTCTTTTTTGTTGGAAGAGGCACATATAATAGTATAACGAGACATCAGCAGAAATATATGTGTATAAGCATACGCGGAAAAAAAAAAACAAAAGACGAAATATACCGTAATACGCCGCTATCGTTGTACACCCATTAAACTCATCTTTATCGTTGAGCTGAGTATCGTCAGGGGAAAAAGCGGTATTGAAACTTATAAATATATACATATATATTGTAAATGTATATTGTAAATGTATCTATGACAAATTAAAGCGCAGTTTGTTACAAAATCGTGGGGTTTATACTGTGATAACAGCTTATCTCCCAACGCGTTGAATTATCTCCTATATGAGGGTGATTCATTAATTCTCTGCGCATAAAATGCTCGTTGAATAGAAAAAGATTTATGTATATTGAAGCCTTCTTTCTCCTTATTATTACTTTACTTCGTCATTATTTTATTGTTTGTTATTGCTGACACTAGATTCTTATACATGTCTAATATTTTCTGTATTTAAATGAATACTCGTTCAGATTTCACAAGAGAAATTGTATCAAATGCTATTAAAAACAAAAGAGGTTCTTTTTCTTTATTACAATTTTTATGCCTTTTTTTTTTACCTTCGTTAAATCTGTTTATACTTGTGTACTTTTCACGTCTTCGTCGCCAATTCGAATGTGTATGTGCCTGTCTTATTTCAAATACACGAAGTGCAGCTGAAATACAAATCCAGTCGATAGTTGTAGAAAAAACAGCTTAGCAACTGTTGAAAGATTATTTAATATAATTAGTTTATATTTAGATCCAGTTTATAATGTAATAAGATCTGTATCTTCTTATTTGTTCTTATTATTTTCTCACAACATGACTAGCAATTTCTCTCATGACGAGATCATAATTCAAATTAAAGAATTTTACATCTTCCAAAGCTACTTTTTCCGCTCAACGCAGCCTGTGCTATATATGAATTTACTATGTACAAGGTTCATTAGAGAAGATAAAATTTTATTCTTTTATTGCTTTTCACTAATTCATTCATGTTTTCAGTTTTCATTATTGACTTAATCTATATGAATATACAGGATGTCCCAGAATGACCGCCAAATATTTCGTGTGCTGATTGAGCGGACTAAACTGAGTTGAAAAATCCACTTTGCAATTTTCATAATAGTTAACAAGATATTTATTATTAAAAATCACTGAATATATTTTTAATCTTTTTACTCAAATATTATCAACTTTATGGAAAAAAATAGCAAGAAACAAAAATATTTATTTTTTATTTATAGAACTATAAGAATTTTTTTCAGAAGATTTGTATCAACTTTTAGTACTGTTTTCTTATCAGCAACTATTTTTAACAACACAAAAAAATGCGATATAATAGAAAATTTTTTTAAAATTCTCAAAATTTTGTGAAAAAATATAAGCATTTGTGTGTTTAATTTTAATCGCTCATAACTCCGTTAAAAATTATCGTATTATTAAGAGAAATTAAGAAATCAGATTCTTAAAGCTGAAACTTTGCTCTATTAAACGGTATAATTGCTAATTTTTTAAATGTACAATATACAATTTTAAGCTAGAAAATTTGAAACAAACTTTCCAAACAATCTAATACTTGAGTAAAAAATTATCAATAATTAATATTCAGCGGTAAGTATATTCAATAATTAATATCTTGTTAACTATTGCGACAAATGTAAAATGGTACAGGAATTTTCGACTTAGTTTAGTCCACTCTATCATCACACGAAATATATTTGACAGTCATTTTGGGATACTCCGTATATACGAATAACGTTTGAATTATAAAGTTTTTAGGAATGCATATATAAGTTCATTTTATGTAATTGTAATTTTTTTTAATTTTTCTTTTGTCATAAGATACCGTGGACTCTTAAAACTTTAATCTAAAATGACGTTTTCAAAGGGATGAATTATAAAGGAAGGCGTGTGAAAAAATATTCGTACACGAGGTAACGTAGCTTAAAGTAGCGAGCAATGCGTTAAATTACATCCAATTACGTCTGCGTTCTATTTAATGCTCACAGCACTCTTGGAATTATTTCATCCTTGTCGTTCAATCAAATTTAAACAAGGATAAATGATTCTCTCACAGGCGTTGTGAGCGCCAAGTTGTCAAATGGAACGCAGCCTACACGTGCCAAGGCGAGAGATGTGACATATAGGCGAATCACCGGCCTGGTAACAACACAGCTGACGGTGGTGCAATTTGAAACTTCAGCTGTGAGAAAAACATTGACAAAAAAAAAAAACGCGAGAGCGTGAACGAACACACGCGTTGAAATGTTTGAACGCGCCGCAAACGTGAGTGGAATGACGTACAGTGTCTCATAAACGCGCGAGACGGGACGACGCTGTAAGTCGGCGGCTCGTAACCAGGAATGTGGTACACGCATCGAGGATTGACGAATCCTCCATTGCGTAACGGATCGACGGAACGGCAAGAGAAAGAGAGAGAGAGGTAGAAATAGAAAAAAAAAAAGAATACGCTTGTTGAAGTGCCAGACAGCCACTTTATCTGTAATTCACACGATATCGCGAAGTGCTCGTCGAGCGTGTGATACGTACGCATCGCGCAATACGGTCACAGCGGGTCGATTGGCTTACGATTAGTTCCAGGTGCAAGAGTTCGGCTGCGTGCATGGTCTTGGTTAAACGTCGCGCGGGATGTCGCATCGCTCCGAAGCTTCGGTCTAGCCCGCGAAATTCGCGTCCAAGGTACAAGGTTTCATCATTCTCGTAACAGGAATTATCTAACCGAGTCTAAACGATAAGCGCTGCACGCGTCTTGTATCTCTCTCTCTTGTGTGCATTCCGTACAGTTCTTGTACAAGTCTTCGTATTTATCACTTTGAGCAAATTCCGATTAGCTTGATCAGCAATAAACTCTACGCCATCGTTTAGCCAATTTCACAAATTCATTGTCCTTGATTCTTTTCAACGACTAATTAATCCATCCATGTTAATAAAATATAGTGCGATTAGTCCATCCAACGAGATAATACAAATATTGCTTGATAAGAGTTAATGACTGATTAAGTTCGTCTGAGATTGATCATTCTTAATCTACAGACTAACATTGATTATGAAGATACAGAATATTACCACGATATAGTTGAAGGCAATATTCTACATAAAGATACTTACTTTCTAATACTATTCAAAGCATTGTGCGACGTGCAATTTTGTTTGCTCTTTTATTATAGATATAATTACATAAGTCAAAGACATAATTCAAGTGACCACACATCTAAATCATGTTGCAAAACGTGAATAAGGAACTGGCCCCAATAAAGTCACATTATTTTCTTTATAATGCTGGTAAGTCTCAATTAAAACTCTATCTTTAAAGCTTTACCGCTTTAGCAACTGTTGTGAAAAATGTTTCTCGTGTTTTGTATTAATTATGTTTATTTTACTTGCAGCAACAGGACCAATGGTACAATTTTTACCAACAATTGGAAAGCAATTAGGTTTCTCTGCGACAGTGGTTGGTACAATATATACAGTATTACCAATTTCTGGACTGATCGCAAAACCACTGTTTGGCGGTCTGGCTGACAAGTTTAAATTACATAAAACCATCTTCTTGATATTCGAAGCTATACTGACAATAGCGTTTTTCTCTATTTATTTCATTCCTGAACTGGACAGGAATGCAAAAGTTACTCTAATCTGCAATAAAGATGTGTCGTACTTAGAGATTTGTCCACAGGTGGAATTCTCAAAGAAGGCATTAAGCGCCGTAATTTTAGAAAATATACACGCTAACACAGTTTGCCAGGTATGTATAAATGTAATTTTACTCTATTATTCTTTTGTATCAAATAACTAGTATATAGTATAAATGTAATAATTCATATCCGTAGTTGTCTTGCAAAGGAGTATCTCACGGTTTCTTAGAACTATCTGGCAAAAATATTTCTGTGAACAACACGTTCAAATTTAGTGCAGGATTTGATGTATATCAAGATTTACTTGTAAGAAATTGATTGTGGAATTATTTTTATCCACCTCTCATAGGAGCAACATGAGATTTTATTATGACAAATAATTTGCAGTTGAAGGACTGTGTGCATATGAAACTACGTACGTTTCTCGATGGCACTGCACACGTTCCAATATGTGGGGATCAGTTGAGAACCTGGTGTACGGCAACTTGCCACAATAATAGTGCGTTTAATCATCTTCTGCAAGAGGCTAAGGATTCGCAAAGTGATATGAAACATTCTACGTATCAGTTTCATGTATTTCTATGGGCAGCCATCATCAGTTGGATTGGAATGGCTGTTGTAGTTAGCATAGCCGATGCCATCTGCTTCGATCTCCTTGGTTTGTATTATGTATTACACAGATAATATTGATAATTATGATTATTTCATTTGTTCCATGTTTCAGGTAATGAAAGAAGGAATGATTACGGGAAACAGAAGATGTGGGGCAGCCTCGGTTTCGGTATTTTTGGTATAAGCGCAGGTTATTTGATAGATCTTTCCAGCAAGGGACAATACGAAAAAGATTATACTTGTATATTTTACATTATGCTAGTGACTATGTTCGCCGACATTTTGGTGTCTGCAACATTGAAAAAGGTACAAAACGCTCTATAAACTGTAAGAGGTGATGAGACTAAGATAAACTGAGACTAGGACAGAAGTTTGATACTTTTTATCAAAGGAACTCAAAATTGGCAGGTAATGGGGCAGTATTGTTACAGAAAAATCCAGAATGCTCTGCGGACGAGCCGTCGTTATTTCGGGAACTATTAAACGTTGTCAAAGAAGGAAGAGTATTGGTGTTTGCTTGGTGGTGTATAGGCGCTGGAATGTGTACAGCAGTTATTTGGAACTTCCTATTCTGGTACAGCGAAGATTTAGCGGTCACTTCTCACATCACATGGAGTAAAACTCTGCAGGGCTTGATGACCGGTGTTCAATGTTTTCTAGGAGAATTACCCTTCAACTTTGTATCGGGCAGAGTGCTGAAAAAACTCGGTCACGTTAACGTCATGAGTCTCGTGTTACTTATCTATGCAATTAGGTGAAAATTAAGTTTTCTATCTTACTAAGTGTATAATTTATTTATATGTTACTAAAAAAAAAATATCGATTTAATTCCGCAGATTTATGGCATACAGCATTATATCGAATGCCTGGCTGTTTTTAATTCTTGAATTGCTCCATGGACCTTCATTTGGTCTATGTTGGCCAACAATGGTATCCTATGGTGATAAAGTAACACCATCCGGTACAAAAGCCACTATGCAAGGATTCATCGGTGCTGTTTTTGAAGGAATTGGTTAGTTTTTAGTTAAATATTTTGTATACAATCGTTTATATCTTTTAACTCGTCTTGACATAAGTTTTTTATTCATTATTCATTTTTAGGAGTAGCAAGTGGTAGCTTCATATGTGGTTGGTTACTAGATTCTTATGGAGGTGTTACAGCATTAAGAACTTTTTCAGTGGGTGCTCTTTTATGGCTAAGCGTATTTTGGTTAATGGAACTTTTACTGAGGAAGTTGAAAGCTTATCCGCTATATCGAGGCCATAATCGTGAGTATGTCGATATATTACATATAAATAATAAAGAAAAAATTAAACCATTTTGCAATTCATAAAGTTAAAAATTGCTCAAAGGTGTTGAAAAGATAATCAAATATCGAAATCACACTATGGAATTTATATTGAAAAATAGCGAGTGTCTTAAATCTGTAGTTCAATTTGAACTTTAATGACCACTTATTTTTCTCATGCATATTTAATGAAAATAATTAATAGTTCTATAATCATATAAATACAAATAACAATAAAAGTTCTATAATCCTTTTACTGATTCTTTTTCAGATCTAGCTAATTATGCCAATCCAGATGATGCTATTCTTATGACAATAAGTCAAGAATTACAAACTTATTAGTTTAGGACAATTTTACAATATAATTTTGTAATTTATTCATACATTTTTATTGATAAATTAATGGAAATACTATCTCGCACGATTGAAATCGAGCAAAGTTGATTTTTACTGTATTTGTACAATTGAAAGAAATAGTTATCTGCGTGATACTTTATTTTTTTGTAAGCTTAAAAAAAATCAGTATTATATACCATACAAAAATGTAAATTATGTCATGGTCATTGTAATATATACTTTTTTTAGATCTACGCAGTGCATTTCTTGTTATATTTACCTTCGTATTTTCACGTATGGATAATAATTGTATAACAGAATGTCATCGTTGGTATACGATAGGTAAAATGTTAAAAAGGTATTAACCAGGATAATACATGCAGAAATTGAAATTGTCAAGCTGGTCAGCAAAATATCTCAACCATTTATTCACTGTAAATCTTTTTTGTTTCCAAGAGTGGAGATATACCAACACTAACAAACATAGTATGCCTGTTCGATCGCAATCAGCCGATTAGCACAACTTCCTTACGATTCTCGTCTACTCTATCGATAAAAAGCTACAAATAACTTTCTTTCCATTCGTACTGCGATACTAAGTAATGATCGCAGCGTATTCGCAAATATAATTTTCAATAATAATCCCGTATACCGTCTGTTAACGGTATACGGGGGACTCACATCGCAGTAAACATTTTCGTGGCGTTAATCTTGTTTCGGCGTCGATGATCGTCGAATGACGGAGCGTAACGGTGAAGTGGTTTGACTGCTACTCGGTATAGGTTCTATCATAGCTTGTAAATTGGGAATTTCACCCGTCGCGGTGTCGCAGCAATCGTTCATGATGATCCCGGCGCCCGGATGGATAAATGCGAGACTTCCCTCGCTGGACGAAGCTAAGCTGGTTGAGAGAGGAGGAGATCGTTCCTTAGGCGATGCCGAGGAAGCGGGATTACCTATAGGCGAAGCGTTGGAATACGTCGCGGTTTCCAGTTTACCATGAAGCTCAAGTACACGGCCTTCTAAAAGAAGATTGATCTCTACTTGTGCTCGATACTTGGATTCAGTGGCCTCCAATTCAGACGCGTGTTGCTCCTTGGTCTCTTGTAGGAGCCGTTGCTGATTCACCAGTTGCGTCTCTTTACGTGCGTCCTTATTTTCTAATTCGCTCAAGCGTGCTTTCAGGGCTTCCAAATGTGACGATCGTGATTCCAACTGTCGCCGAATATCTACAAAAGAATTTTTGATGGTACACATAATTTTTTCTTTTCACGTAGAGTATATCATTCTCAAGTTTTCATGCTTACTGTTTAACTCTTCTGTACATGATTTCTGAATCTGCGTCGTTTCTTGCTTGGATGTTGGTGAGAAAGTACTTGTGTTTTCTTCTAATTTTAATTGTGCCTATAGGAAAAAAAACATACAATTATATTTCCATAATGTATGATATTAATTTGCCAGATAATTTTTTTTAACTTAAATTTTTATTAATCAAGTTTCTTAACATGATTTCTTAATTTGAAGAATGAGTTACCTCTCCTAAAAGCACAAACTTTTTCTGCATAGTATCTACAACGTTTTCCAATTCCTTGCCACGATCTGCAGCCTTTAATGCTGCCTTAAGTTGGTGTCCTGCGTTGAAAAGTTCCGCCTCAACAGAACGAAGTTGTTGCTGCGATTCAATAGTCTTCTTTTGTTCGTTTTTTAATTCCAATTCTAGATTCTCTAGGCGATCTTTGAACGCATGGCTTTGTCGTTGTTCTTCGACGCACTATGCATGTAATAAGTGATTATTAGTCTTTTCCAATATTTTTTCTTTTCTATAAATATTTTTAGAAATAAAGTAAATACTTTAGTTTGCCAATGATGCATAGCTTCTTTATACTGTTCCTCAGCCTGATGCGCTTCCCTTTTATTATGCTCTAATTGCCCTTTCAATTCTTCCAGTTCTCTTTCGATCATTTTTAAACGCTCAGTCTGTAAGACAAATAATGTCAAGTCCATTAACAGTTGCATAAAAGTTTAATAAATATTGTATAAGAATATATGAACAAACCAAAGCAAGGTTATGCTCTTCCGAAGCTCGCGAGTCTCTTAATTTACCGAGGAGGCGTCGATTTCGCTCAGCATGAACTTCCCGTCGCTGCCGTTCGAATTGTAGTTGCATTTGCATGAGTTGAAGTGACTGATTAGCACAAGTTGGATCTATACCATCGTCTTCCGCTACGTCTTCTTCCGCATCCTCCTCCCCTTTCTTTTTTTGTTTCTGCCTCGTACCGTTTGTTCCTAAAAGAAACTAGTATTTCACTTCCCTTACCAGAGATATGTGCTATTATTTGTTATACACAGATTACTTCATATTTACTCGTTTTACTAGAGAAGCTATTCGTTCTCGTGCAAGCCTCGATATATCGATCAAGCATGCTGATTGGCGACATTCTCGAATCAGAACTTTCTTGACTAAAGTTTTGATTGTTCTGATCTAACATTCCCAGCAACAGATGCTCATATGGAAATAAATCACACGTTTGACTACCAGTATCCTCACGTCCTTTTACTGGATCCGTCATGTCTTCGCTATAACATTTCTTCTGCATTTCCATATCCGGATAAGATCTGGAGCGTCGAATCTGCGCATATAAATATTCTTTTCATTGCTTCTATAAATGCAAAACATTATATGCAATAATCTTTGAAAATTTTCGAATTCTTTGATACTTTACTTTGTGCGTTACGTTCGAATTTGGATTTTTAATTGGGAAATGATATTGGGAGTACAGTCGAAGATAAATCTTTTGCGTCAAATGGGATAGAGTGCCATACGCGTTCCTCTCACTCCGTGCTTCAGATTGCGCTTCGACATACTTTGGCATTTCGACTGCTCCATTTCCGTGCGAACTGACAATCTCCAGTACCTATGTAATTAGAATATTATTATTTGGTACAATACCACATCTGTATTTATTCAATATAGGATGCTAGTAAATTGCTCAAACCTCTTGATCTTCTTGCCAAGAATCATTCTTCCCATTTTGACTTAGAGCCATTTCTAAGAGCCTTCCGTTCTCTTCGCTATTACTCAATGATTTTTGCGACTGAAAAACATTTTGTCTGTCTGTCATAATCTTACTTAGTCTATTCGAAAGAAATCCATGTGTATTCGCTGCAGTGTCTGCACTTTTTCCGGAGTTTACAGAGGTCGGCGTTGAAGGCCGAGAAGATGTACCATTGCCCAATGCGTTTAGAGCACGCACTGCACTGGATCCCAGAGGCGCTTGTCTCGTTGACAATTTTCGTAAATCCTGTGTAAAAATATAATGTACTTTTGCACGTAGAAGAAAAAAAATATTTTAGTAACTTTTTGTATACTTTAACAGGAGTTGTTTCGGGGGTAGCTTCTATAGCAGCCTCGGGCGGGGAAGTACCACTTCTATTGTTATTAGGTGTCGGCGGAGCAGAGCGTGGCTCGTGAGATGTGTTTTGTGCCGGGCTGTGTGGTGGTACTGTCATGCTCGGTGACCAAAATGCATCATCTTCCCCATTACTATTCTCCATGGTCGTTACTCCTCCGCAAATGTTTATTGGCGCGCAAGTGATGGAAGATTGATCTGTAGGTGCATAAACAGTCATCATTTTTTATCATTCCTCTGGGAAGAAAGATATATGTATGAAGATGATAACAATGCTGACCAAGAGGTGGAGTGCACCGAGAGTTAACTACTCCTAAAATTTCCTCCCGATATTTGTCTAATGTAAAACGGCCACATTCTATCACAATATCGTGATGTTCCATTTTTTTCCACCTGCGACGCAACAAAAAAGAAGCAACAATGATTTAGGCAACGCTGTGTGACAGAAATTATGTTTAGAATATATGTATACCTAGTGGCTGAAATTTCTGCATCCTTGGATGCTGTAACAAGAGAAGGGTGCATACGCACAGAATCCAACATTGGTCTAATAGTATGAGTAAATGTAGCCAATTGATCACGCTGAATGTATTGTTGCTTCAGGTATGATATAAAATTGCAGGGATACATCGCGTACAGTCTATGAAATAAGCTGTATAATCCTACCTATAACCAATGGTATGGTAGTTTATATTAACGTTATGACACTTGCACAATGATTATAAATATTCACCTGCAAATGTATGAGGTACAAATGGTCCTTGTCGATAACATTTGGTACTGTGGTCGAAGTAAAAGGGGTAGAAGGAGAAAGTAAGGATTGATGATGATGATAATAAGAGGCCAAGCGGCCGAATACCTCAAATATTTCTGGTAGATATGGCCCTAGAGCAGCAGGTAACATTGGTAACAACATTACTAACAGAAGGAGGGCACTCATAAGTGGTAATATATCTGTCTCCACCTTAAAAAATACAGTCTTATAAAATAGTATATATATGCATAATTAACAAATAGTATATATATGTTTAATTAACTCACATCAATAATTATTGACGTATAAAAATTGTGTATGTACGACATATAAATTATACATATCTTAAGTGAATCATGTTCGTGTTAAAACATACAAAAATGCGGAAACATCTTAAAAAAGATTAACAATTAATCTTTTTAAATAATTATTTTAATAATTATAAGTTTGATGCATACATACATTAATATACAGATCAAAAAGGAAAAAAAAATTAAGAAATATTACCTTAAGTAATTTGAGTAGATCTCTGAATAAAGCATGACTGGCTAGCTTGTACAACCAAGTAGGCTGACGTCTGGCTATATGCCCAAGCAATGTGAGTGCATGTAATCTTTGCCCACTATTGCCAGGTTTTGAAAGAATGTCTGACAAACGATCTAACAGATGTTTATCATGTGGATCTCGTACACCTGCTAATACTTCTGCTGTCCTCGAAGAATTTGTAGAAAGATAATAATCCAACAATCCATTTACCAGCCAATTGTCTTTTGCTGTAAATGATCCAATGTAGTTTAAAAACAATCATATTACATCTAATACTACAAAAATACACACGTATTACTCACTGCATAAGAAATGATCATGGAATACTTTTTTGGTCTCTTCAACTTCACCAAGTTTATTCGATTCCAGCAAGTAAAACAGATCAGCAACGCCTGCAGGACCGACATTCATCTTGACTTGTAGCTTGGTTCAAAAGATTTCTACTCTCTCATGGTCCTTCGATCATTCGGTGGAAGCAGAAATCGGTTCGGTAACGACGCTCTGAGCCATCAGTCGTCTGTCACGCAAGACAGGCATTGTCTGCAGCGACAGGGATGCCAAGGTACCTACAGAAAAGAAAATACATCATGTGAGAAGCGGAGAATCACAAGACAATCCTGAGATCTTGCTCTGTCAGCAGTCTCGACTGCTAGCGATAGTGTCCACAAATCGCTGATCGCGCGGGAGTCGAGTCGAACGACACGTTGGTTCGGTCACACCATGCGAGGACCACACATCGTGACAGGGTTCGCGCGATCATTCGGACGAACTGTCAGCACGCGTATATCTTTTACCCACTGTACGACACTCGACGGGCAAGCTTGTCGGTTCTGTTCCGCGTAACCGCAAAACTGACAGTCGCCTCGATGGCGACCGGTCGAGCGATAAATCCCGTAGCATCCACGACGTCGAACAAACCTCGACGACAAGACTCGCGCGTATCAAAGAAAATCAACCAAAGCAACTCACCCGAATCTCATCGAGCACCTCCACAGGCAAATTCCTGGAGTTCTATGGCGACTGGCGAGCTCGGATGGTGGGAAAACCTCCATATATCTTCTTCAGGATCTCCTTGGTGCTGCCATCTCACCACTGACCGTCGTCCGACATAAACTTTCGCGTGTCTAGATGAAATCGTCGCCAGAGAATGTTTTCGCACATCGAACTACCAATTAACTCAAGAATTTTTTTAGCTCATTGAGTTACAAAATTAAATGATTTATACAATTTTTTTAATTCCTTTTTTCTTCATCGAATATTACTGATAAAGTCCGCCATGACATTCGATAATTCAATAGAAATTTTTTCTTCTGGCGATAAGATTATCGCTAGCTGAAATTCCTAAACAATACGTTTTCCTATTGGACATAGGAAAATAATAATTGGAAGTTTATACAAAGAAAGATTAAAAACTAGGATCACATTCCGATTTAAGTTAACCTGCGATTAATCAGATTAATCCAATTGGTAGATTCTAGAATATTTCAAACTATAAAATTAACTATATTTTTATTCCTACTTTTATTTTCTTCACGCATTATAAATAACAATAAAAAATAGAATATTTTCTTAACAAAATGATAGATATTTATTTAATCATTTAAGATCATTAATTTAATCAGCGATTAATTCAAGCAGCAAAATTGCTCTTAGAACAAAATTTCTAATTAATGAATAATTATCATTATTCCTAATATATTTTTTTTTCGACATGTAAACAAAAAAAAATAATTTAATCCTAACAAATTATAGCTTAACTTTTGTTAAAACAGTAAAAATTAAAAACAGTAGATGTACTTAATTAAATTAATTAGTAAATTAATCGACAGTTATTTAATGTTTATATATATATATATATATATATATATAGTGTTAAGCAACAAAGAATTATAATTCCATCGATGTTAATAAAATAGTGCAGATAAGAGCGTGATAAGTTAATAACCGATTAAATCAAGTCTAAATTTGATTGTCATTTTTTAAATGACTCAAAGACGACTTTGAAGTCATCTTTTCAATTCGGGAAAAAGTTACGAAACTGATTCGAAATGAGAGGAATGATAATTACAATGATAATCGTGTTTTATATCTTCACTATATATTTCCGCAATTATTCGTTATGTTACGTTTATTTGTAAATGCATGTTTTTTAGAATGTATATTTAATTTTAGATATTTTTAAGAAATACACTCGTCTAACTCTTTTCAACATATAAAACATGATGTAAAAAGTCAAATTCATAATTTGATATACTAGAAAAATAACAATTAAAAGTTACATTTTTAATGTTAGAAAAAATTTGTTATTTCGTCACAATCACATAAGTAAGTATATATGCTGGGTTTGACCGAAAATCAACGATTTGTTTACAATATTAGCTGAAGTAACTCCTAAAGACCATCTTGATACGAACTGATAAGCAAATTACTAAAAGAGGAACATTACATATTGGGTTCAACTTATCGTTATAACTTCTATAGTATGTGCAGTTTGATAATTAACTTGACATTTTGTAGATAAGACTTGCTCAAATGCAATTATAATTTATACATAAAAAAATAACATTTCCTGTTATATATAAAAAAAAGTCTCCTTCAAGTTTTATAATATAAAATATGTATAAAACATCGAACGAGCATATTTCATAACTTTTCGTGGAAGATCCTAGATGTATATCTTAAACATTTATCGAAATAATATATTATTCTACTAATTACAAATAACGCAAGTTAGGAAGTAGTCTTGTGTATAACAATATGCGAACATGTGATACATACATATCGCGCTTCATTGATATATGTACAGTACACGCTCACGATTAACATCATTTTATGGAATCTGGTTTCGCCATGATCAGGCTATAATCTCGAATGAAAGAATAAGTTAAGCTAGTATCTAACGTTTTGACTGCCCGTTCGTAGATATCGCTGGCTTTCTTTGGTTCTCCATGCTGCATCTCATATTTAATGAAATCTAACCAGATGGACGTGTTATGAGTCCCAAAGTTCATTAACGCCATCTCATACGGCCGTCGTATGTACTTAGGCAGGGTCTCCGGCTGTATAAACTCCAGCGAGATCATCTTCTTGTGGAATTCCAACGAAGTGAAAGGTTGAAGAGAAAGATCGCTGTACGCCTTGCGAGCTGCACGGATGCCTGAGGAAAAGCAAAAATAGATATAGATATCTTAAAAAAATCATTTCTCATTAATAGGAATATATAATAAATGATAATATAAGATAACGCTCGTTTGTTTGCAAAGCAAAATATTCTAATTTAAAACGACCACAAGACAAGTAAATAAGATATTTGAATATTCAGATTCTTTTTAACCATTTAATGAATAGCAAATATATAAAGTTTCGACTCACAGAAAGTGAGTTCATTTGAGGAAAGTTCATTTTACAATCACGTAAACGTAGTTGTGAGTGGCTGTAGTTGTAAAGATTGACTAATTACAGTCGAACATTTTTTCGTATTTGACTGTGATTAGTTATTTCGTACAACTACACTTACGCAATTGTAGAATAGGCTTTAGATTAACATAAAACAAAAACTTATAAATTTTACATTTAAATCTAACTATAAAATGACAACGAGAGACCTAGATAATAACCAGACAGAATTTTTTTTGCATATGATGTGGTAATTAGAGATATAGGCATACACCATGTCCAACAATAATACAAGTCAATTATGTAAAGATGTAGAGTTCAATAACAAATTCTTCGTTTAATAGCGAAAATTATATTAAGTCCAATGTAGAGTTTAAAGTTAATGTTGTAAAAAATATTGGCACGAGATAATGTGTTAGAATTAAAATTCTCTTTAGAATTGTCTGGTATTGTTTAGTTTGTCTCTTATTGTTAACAAGTCCAAGTATGGACATTACTTAATACATAGTGCTTAGACTTTGATAACAAGAGGAAAGTAAATAAAATTAATGTGTGATTAATATCATTACCTTTTGTTAAAACAAGCCATTCAAGCCACATAATCTTAATATCTTTAGCGATTAAGGGATATTGTAGAGCTGCTTTAAAGCTTTCCTCAACCTCTTCCAAGCTTTTTATCTGAGCGTGCAAGATTCGCATTTTCCACAATGGTAATGCTTTCTCGCCTAACTTGTCCGTCACCTAATTCACAAAATTCTCAATATCGGTAAGATCAAATATAGTGATAACTTGCAAGATTTATTACCTCTGGCAACATAGCATACGCTTCCTTCTCCAAGCCACATTCTAATAAATGATTAAGTCGCGCATGCCATATACCGACGCTGTTTGGTACAATATTAGTCGCTCCTTGTAATATTTCGTCCAGTTTTTTTCTCATACCTTCGTCGTCTTTGCTCGACTTCTTGTCGACATTCAGCATATCAACCTGAATGCAATAGTCATTTTTACATATTTTAGGAAAGAGAGAAACAAATGTTATTCAGTATAATTTCTAAACATTCTTCAAATTAAAAAAAAACATTTTAATTTAACAGGTATTTTAATTGTGTGTGGAAAATTTCGAATAGATATTCTTAAAATAAAAATTATTAAAAAAAATTTATTATTAGATATATGAATTGTAATCAAATTTAAGCACAAGTATTGTTCATAATTATTAAATTATATATACTGTGGATATTAAAGAAATGTTGAGTACAAACCCAGTGCAGATAATGTTCCTCTTTTAGTTTTTTTACTCGATGAGCCTGCATCAAGGCGGTTTTCAAGAGTTTTCTTTTCAAATTTGGCAATGATCGCAGATCGCGATTAATTTCCAGTAAGCATTCTATATACAACGACCAGATTTCTGCAGTTTTGATTTCCTTTATAGCAGCCTGGTAAACTTTGCTGCAAGATGTGATACGAGTTCTCAGAGATTTTTCCTCAGCATTCTCCGATTCTGTCGACGCATCACTGATGCTTGGTTGCACTAAGCCTTGTAATTCACGACGCGCCAATGTATCCCACATTAAAGGCTCATGAGTATACTCTCGAATCATATCACTATAATTAAATTATTTCTTTAATTGTTTAACTATTGTGAACAATCATACTTAGAGATTTATTAATAACACGTGTGTGTACACACGCACGTACGCACACATATATATATATATATATATATATATACATACTGAATAATTTTTATCTGCAATGGCTTGGTGTTATCATGCTCATTTGTGATGTTGAGCAAATTTATTATAAATTTAATATCCTTAATACGATCAAAAGCCTGTTGGTATATAAAGAATGCCGTTTTCAATGGCATTGGAATTTCGCTATCATCTGTTGTCGGTACTGGATCAATGTGACCTTCCTGGTTCTCAGAGTTTTCAGCAGTAGTAGAAGCTGTCGCTAAACGATTGTCCAGTTCGAGTCTAAAAAGAAATACAGATGTATTTTAACTGAGTGATTGATAGAATACAAAAAATTATTAAGAAATACACTTTGTACTTACTTGAAAGCATCAATATATAACAATTGAGAGTTAGGATGTTTTTGTAAACCTCTAAGAAGATACTGCCGTGCGCTGTGCTTATTCTTATTCTCTTCTAATTCCCAATATGCTGCTATATGCCAACATTTTGGCTTATCTCTATGTACTTGTAGCATTCTGCCTAACATGTTGTTGATATTACTGTGGAAGTGCTGTAGGAATAAATAATGTATTAAGTTGTACAATGAAATGATAATTTACTTACTTCGCTACCTACCATATGCTTACAAAACTTCATATAAGCAACCCAAAATCGAATATCATCTTGAAATTTAGATATTGCTTCTTTGTACAAGTTATCCATCTTATTAGTTATGCCATAGTCAATGACTGACCTCTTCTGAGTAATACCATATTTCTAAAATAAAAAAAAAACAAAATTTTAGACTAAATACAATTACCTATATCTATATTTTATATATATATATGTATATATAGGATATTCAGAAATTTGAGGGTAATCTTACTTTAGTATGAAATTTCATGAAAAAATAATAAAAGTACAAGCCTTTTTTTTCTGTAAGGTAGTTTTTTAAGTATAAACGTTTAAAGTGTTTGACTAATCATAAAAGTTAGTTAAAAAGGTATCTATTCATGTGACATACGTACAATGGTATCAGATACTAAGTAAAACATTGTTGCTGCATGTACACTGTCACATGGACAAATAATATTTTGACCAATGCTTATTATTAGTCAAATTTTACACTTAAACATTTATACTTAAAAACCAACTTTATGGAAAAAAATGGCTTGCACTTTTATTACTTAATTTTTCATGAAGTTTCATACTACAGTAAGATTACCCTCGAATGTCTAGATTCCCTGTATATAAAATTATATGACAAAATTTGAATGTAGACGTAGATACTCACATCTCTTCGCTGCTTGATTAACTTTAGCAGATCCATTTCATACTGTATGTATCGAAGATAGTCCTCCTTAGTCTTCGTGTGTCGTTGAATTTTATACTCATATTCTTTGAGTTTCTTGGCGATGCTTCTAAAAATATAATAACAAACCTCAACATTTGAAAACCATTCGATTCACAAACGCATGCACGCGTATATAACCTAAATTCATGTTCACTCACCGAATCTCGTTTTTATCAAAGAGCTTGAGCTTCTCCATTTGCTCCAGCTCTGGAATCATATCCTGACACCGTTTCTCCACAAACTCCGCCATTTCTTGAAAATATTATAGCGTTTTCTCTTGGGATATACTTTAGAGAATACTCCAACGAGAAATTACATACAGAAAACGTTAGCAAACAAGCCAAGCAGACGCGAACACAGCGGAGTCGAGCGGAGCTGGTGAAGCACAGCAGGAACAGGGCCAGGGCCAATAAATTCCCGTCCATGATGTAAGGACCAATGGCTGCATTCAGCACAATAAGCAGCTTTGCAACTGTTGTAAAATTCTTTAATATGATTGGTCTTGCCCTTATTTCCTCATTAGATCTAAATGTATAAGCCAATCATATTCAAGAATTTGACAACAGTTGCAAAGCTGCTTTCTCTGCTGAACGCAGCCATTACTTATTGGCCGTACTAAACAGATAAGTTGGATGTAGTTTTGGAACACACAAAATTTCCTATGTTAAAGAAATCCCGATTTCCTAACCTCTAATTTGAGTTTTCCACGTGAAGTATGAAGTATATAAACATATAATACACTACGAACACTCCAACAAAAGAATTGGTAAGAAAATATTTATTTTAAAAGTAAATTTAAATTTTTTAATGCGAACTAATATTTATGTTTTTCAATTATTAGAAGAATATTTTTAAATTTTTTAATTATTGCAAAGAGAAATTTATTTTTATAAGACGTATGATACACCTATTTTTCTAGTTATATATGCATAGCTGAATTAAAATTTGTTATCTAATTTAATGATGTAAGTCTAATTTCATTAAAATTGAAAGCCAAATAGCTCAACTAACTAATTAAAATTTATAAATATTTGTATTATAAAAAAAATTTAACTTATTAACTTATCAATTCAATATACATTTTAAAACTTAGAAAGATCAAACTTCTAACACTCTTTGATAAATTGAAATAAATAAAGAATCTGAAATAATTATGCTTTTCTGTCAGTGCAAGAAAAGATGACCAGATATGCAAGAGCAAAAGGATCTAAAGCTTCAAATGAGAGATTGCCGAATGAAGCTACACCATGGAATGTAATGAAACAGCAATTAGAGGAGAACAAAAATAAATCCGTAGAGAAGAAAAAATCAGCGAAGGAATTATTGAAAGAACATGAAGACTCCTTTAAAAATGATAGCACCAATGATAACACTCAATGGGCAGAATTTGAAGATAATAGATCCAAGTCTAATACAGAAAAACATAAGAATTTAAAATCAAAAAAAGATTTTCCAAAAAATTCTGAAAATAATATAAAAAAGTCACATGAAACAGGAGATACAAAAATTGAAACAACAGATAGAAAGACAACTAACAAAAAGAAAAAGAAGCAAGACAATAATACAAATTCGGTATCTAATGAAAAAGATGCACAAAAATTAAATACTTCACAAGATACACATTCAAATTATGTTGTGTTGAGCAAACGACAGAAACGGAATCAAAAAAGGAAGTTAGAAATGTCTAATGATGGATCTAAGAGATTTAAGAAGGATGTCTCTGACAAAATTAGCAATATATATACAAGAGAGGAAAAGATGAAGAAAAAGCAAGAATATAAGAGAAGAAAGCCAGATGTTGGTGTTACCAAAATAATAATCAATGGTGTAGAAACTAAAATTGTTATGTATGATAGATTCCCTGTTAGAAAAGAAGATGCAGAAAGATTGACAGAACTTAAACAGAAAATGATATTGAAGGGTAATTACATAATGATAGTAATATACAATAGTATGGCTTTCATTTTGAATTTTACAAGAATTTATAAAAAAATTAAATATATTCATATATATTTGTTAACATGTAAAAATTCTCATGGAACTGAAGAGTTACTTTGGCTTTTCTTTATACATTTTTTTCAAATTTTTTAAACAGAAATTGAGAAATCTTATTTAAGAATCTCCATAGATTTAATTAAAATATTTCGTATGATAATAATAAGATATTAAAAATTTCAGTTTCAAAATATAACATTTGTATTGCATTCTATTATTATTCAGGTATACCAAAATCTGAAGTGGATATAGCAATGAAGCTGGAGAGACGCAAGGCTGAGAAAGCCTTGGCACGCATTAGGAAACTCGTCTGCTTCAATTGTCGCAAATCTGGACACAATCTATCCGATTGTCCTGAGCTTGATCGCAGTGAGGCCTGCACAGGCATCTGTTTCAAATGTGGTTCAACGGAACACACACACTTTGAATGCAAAGTTAACAAGGATTCCACCTATAGATATGCCAAATGCTTCATCTGCCGCGAGCAAGGTCACATTGCTATGCAATGCCCTGATAATCCCAAAGGAATTTATCCTCATGGTGGTTGTTGCAAAGTTTGCGGAGCTGTGACACATTTAAAGAAGGATTGTCCGGACTTAATGAATGCCAAGGAAGATAACATCATTACAGTAGAAAAAATGGATAATGCCATAGAATCCTTGCAGGAAGATACAAAAGAAAAATGTGAGAGTAATAAACCAAAAAATAAGATAATCAAATTTTAGGTGATGTACTCTTTAACAATTGATATGTATTAAAAAACTTGTATCTTATTATTCTTTTTAAATAGTATTACATACATTTGCAAAAAAATTTAGTTTTTTATTAAATACTTTTATTTAAAAAAAAAAACTTGTCAATTTTATTGTTTCATACAATAAAATCTAAAATAATTTTTTTAGGTAAATATAGTATAAAGAGCACGTACACAAAAATTTTATTATAAATTTATAAAACACTTGTAAATATGAATTGTAAAAATATAATATACATGCGAATTTGCAGAGTATAGATAATATTATATTTTTTAAACAAGATTTTCTTGTGATACATTTTATTTTTAACATCTCAATTTCCTTACAAGATTCTATATTTATTGATATAACAACTGTCTTATACTTGAAATATTTAGAATATTTATAAAAATGATAAGATACATATTAATATAATTTCTTTTCAACTATTTATTTCTTGAAGTATGATTACACTTAAAGTCGCTCAAGTAACATTGTAAGACCCATCATTAAAAATCCTGTATTCATAATCAACATTTATAACGAAGTACTAAAATCCTCTACTGTACATTATTCTGCATTATTCCGGAGAGCATTTCTTGCTACGTGAGTATTGTATAGCATAAAAGTTACTGGTATCAAAACAGTAATTTAATTCTGCTATTATAGATATATTCAAAAAACATTAACAGCGTTCTGAAAAATATTAACTACTTGAAAAATCTTATTTTATAAAATAAAATAATTTAATTTTGAATATTCAAATTTTAATTTAAGTTCAAAATTTAATTTAAAAATTGGCGAGATAAGGAAAGTATTTTTACAATCATTTGTAAATATTACAATTGTATTTCGCTGCTGTCCTATTAGTATATATGTAGATACTGCAAAATTATAAAATTCTATATATTTGTATATGCACATGTATGTATATAGAATATGTGATATATAATTAAAGTTAAAAATTCCGTAACTTGATATTTTCGAAGTTAACACTTCATAATCCGCCAATAGACTCATTATATACAGTAACTCAAACTTAAGCATGCATCGCAATAATGTTGAAGTATCCTGTGCACATAAATATTAAATATCAAAAGGCATAAGAGAAAAATAAACGAAATCTGAGAGAGATGGAGGAGAAAAGAAGAGAGAACTAAAGAGAATAAATGATGAATTGTTTTCTTAGAGCAATATTTAAATAGAAATATTCATCCATTGGGCAAAAATAAGGGAGGCTATCTTGATGTATGTACATTTTAATCGCAATGCATATAATATAATGTGAATGCATATAAATATCTCTATATAAACTCAGCTGCACTTCTGATTAGAATTTTAATTTAAAAATTATATAAAATATAGGTAGCTTTAATTTTATATATATATACTATAATACAGAATGCTTTAAACATCGCATATTTCCTCTTGTAGTCTAAAAGAATAACGTTATTTGCTTCAATTAACATCGATAACCTAAGTTACAAGCAATTAAAAACTAAGTATGAATTAAGATTAAGAGTATTAACGGATAATAGAATTCTTCATATGTAATATGAAGAACTTTTACTAAAAGTAGAGTTTTATTTGATATTTATAGTGCTATTATAAAAAAACACCTAATATTCACAGTTTTAAATAAGTGTGGTGTAAATATAACTAAGATTCTTTAATATGAAATTACAGGAGGAAAATTCTATAAAAGCTGAAGTCGCAGTTATCATACATCATATATTACTAACGTTAATGTATTAATATTAACGTTATTAATATTATTGTTTTATTAGTATATTTTGAAATATACAAATGAAGTTTATATATTTGTACTATTATTAAATTAAAATACATACCGTAGCAACTGTGATTTAAACCATTATAGGCACTTTTCTATGATTAAATAAACTTATAAAGAAAGGCGTAAATCAATGAAATTTTTGTAATTATATTTTAATTTTAGTATGTAATATATATTATTTTGCAAATATAACGACTATTTCTAAAAATATGCACGAAATGCAACTGATAGACTGTGAAATAAAGTTACGAAATATTTTATCATCTTCTCTGAACACTGTATATTTGTTAAGTGGTAATGATAATCAAGCAATTGAACTGCAAAGTGAGCAGCTATCGCTTCTTGTTTATTAATATGTCATTTACTATATCCTGAAAAAATATATTCCAAATAAAAAATTTCCCATTCATCGGCAAAATAACGTCATTTCTTTTGCCTTATTCACAATTAAATAGTCAAACATGATTTATTTATAAAAACGATGAAAATATTCATTATCTTACGTTGATAATAAATTATAGAACGTCATTTTTTTAGTTAAAGATTGAAGAAAACAATCTGCTCTCATTTATAGTTCATATATGTATATCATTTTCATATACTACTCGGAAGCAATTTACACGTGGAATTGTTCGTCGCATATTCGCTTTAAAAGGCGTTTTAAAGACTAATTTGGTGAGTTTAAAAAGACTTTCCACCAAGACTTCTCGTATTTTATCTTGTGTAATATAATGTCTTTGGTACCAACACACATATATACTATTTTTATTTATATCCAATTCTCATAATTAATAGTGATAGATGAAAATTACAATGCGAATATCGCACGTGCACCTGCTAAGTAGCTTCAGCTTTGTGCGCCGATTCAATAATCTCCCTTAAGCATCGACCAAACTCCTCAATAATGAGACGCTGGGACGTCTCGTCGTCGAACATATTACGTTCCGCTTCTTCTGCTTGCGCCATCAAACATTGACACGTGATCTCCACTACCTTCTCCGTCAGAAAATTAAATGGTTGTCTATAATAAATAAAAAATAAACATAACTTTTAAAATATATAATAAAAATATATGAAATTATGAAACCTACTATCATGCTACGTTCATTGTCTCTAGGTTTCTGAAAAATTACAATATTTGTAAAGAATGTCTTGTCATACCTTGTACCAGTATTGGATATTGCAGGTGGTCTAAATGCCATTTCGGATAGTTGCAACTGCGTCTTATTTAAACTAAGCTTAGTCGTTTTGACTTCGGTTGCTTCCGCTAAATCTTTTAAAAATTTCTTCTGTAAAATTGGATCGACAATATTACGACAGCCTATACACTTGCAATTCTCAGAACATGGAATTTTAGCCTAAAAGAAAAATACATATTTGAATTTCTTTATCAACAAATAGGTATATATATTCAAAACTATTAAATATTATTAAAATGTTTGCATGTAAATTAAATTTTGAACATTTTATATTAAATAAGCAATTACTAAATATATATACATTAGTTACACATTGTTAGAAGGAAATATATAAAATGTAATAAAAGAATAAAAATTAAATTAAAATTAAGTATAATTTGCTGTATTTTTCAGGAATCATGAAAAAGTGTATCTACAAGCTTAATTGTTTGTTAAACAATATCTATATAGTTCAGAATACCTCATAACATTCGCAATAATTTTTAAGACAACCACTACGTTTGCAATTGCAGCCTTTGTTATGTCTCCTTATATCTTCGCCAGTTTCACGACCTTTTCCAATTTTAGGTCGAAAGGCGTTAGGGTTACGTTCCAAGCAGGATTTAATTGCACGCTGTCGTTCTTCTTCGTTACCAAGATTGTTCGAACAATTATTGCAATTGCACATATGACAGAATTCACCGTTTGCAAAGCAATCGCAATAACTATGATATAAATATTTCTATTTAGATTTTATTCAAATAATAAACAAAACTTAAATTAAAACATAAGAATTGCAAGCGGATTGATTCTGTTTTAAAAAGTTTTAATTTTTAATAATTTCTAATGGTTTACTTCGATTAAACTTGCTCAAATTTCAATAATTTTTTAGTAAGAAATATTACGTATATCTTATTGAATATTACTTTTAAAAAGATGCTTTTAACTGTCGCATTGTCAGATATGAAAATAACAAATGAAAGTAAAAATCCAAGGCCTACTAGATAAAAAATATGTTTAAATTAATAATCGAATAAAATTTTATCAAATATTTTTTTAAATAAAATACTTACAGTTTAAGACACTGAGATTTGGTGCAGTTGCATGGTTTTCTTGGCCTGATACCATTCGGCTCTACATTGCTGTAAGTTCCTCTTTGAGAATTTTTTCCATCAATTACGCATAAAGTCGCTGTAGAACTTTGCGAGCTTCCTAAGAGACCTGGCGTTGTTGGAGACTTCAATTTTACTTCATCTGTTGACTATCCAGACAAAATAGCAATATTTTATATAAGTTTTTATAAAATTATGTAATTTAAGATATTCGTATTTTCAAAAAGTATGTGAAAATTAACTGCGGTACTCTCTTTATAAAGATAAAAAATTTCATCTAAATTCAACAAGTCAATATATAATCAAAGTTAGATATTGAACTAATACATATACATATTCATTAAATTAATTTATTTCAGAATTATAATTGTGCGCCGTTACTATCAGACTTTTAATATAATCCATCTGAAATATTAATAATTCCCCTAAAATCTTAAAAAAACTGTAATAAACTTATTATGAAAAATATTACCTCGGCCAAGATTAACAAATTTTTTGGAAGGCTCGAGAAAGACTTAAAGTTTATTTTTCAATTTATTTAATATTAGTACGTAAGAGAAAAAAAAGGCAAGCAAATTGAATGATCACATAAATGGATATTGAACCTGTTGTTGAATATATTGAGCAGGTAGAACAACAATATTCCTAACATTTGGATTGGTTGACAAGACTGCCTGTCCTGATGCTAATTGGCTTAATGCTGATGCAGGAATTGCTACCGTATTCTTCGACTGACCGCCAACAGTTGCTGCAGTAGCAGCCGCCGCAGGTATGAGTAATTTTTGACCACTTGTCAATGTTGCCTTTGGTGCAACAGTTCTCAAAGATTGATTTCCAGTATTTAGTGGTACAACCTGGATAAAAGTCACATAATAAAAAACGTCACTTGCGATATACATTTTAAATAGTAGAAGCATCTAAAATATTGTATAAAGTATTATCTTAATATGGATAAAATTTCTAAAATTAAAAATAAAAAGCATATATATGTTTTTATTTATGTTTTTTATTGTTTGCTGAAAAATTGAGAGATGTTACTGAATTTCCATATACCTTTACAATCTGTTGCTGATTTCCTATTTTCTGACCGATACCTACAGTCTGAAGTGTTGCACTGGCCTTTGATTTGCCCACAGTAACAACATTGGTAGATCCTGTTGAAGGAGTACTAACTAATCTCACATATTGCACCTGAAAGAAATCGTATATTATAATACATGTATACACACGCACACATATTGTACAGTTACAATTAATCAAGAATAAATTATGAAATAATTATATGTACTTGTCTTCCAGACATCTGAATTTGATGAACTTGATTTGATCCAGTCACAATGTTCTGATTAGCAGGTATTCTAATGACTTGTCCACTTCCAAGTACATTGCTAGGTTTCAAAGAACCCTAAAGAAAGAATTTTTATAAAGTATAATTTATCGAGAAATAAATATAATTTTTAAAATGTATAAAAGAATTATTTGGATATAATTCATTATCTTTTCACCTGTCTAATAATCACTTTCTGCGGATTTTGTTGCGTGGATGACTTGGTCGTAACGAATGTAGGTTGCTGATTCGTCGTCGTCGAAGACTTGGCCTGAATATTTACAGTTGGTGCAGGAAGGATTTTTGTAGGTGATTTTACAGTATTTGTTGGTATTATAGTGACTTTTGATTGCTGAGATGTTGAAGACTGTAACAACTTGTTCAGTATCACACTCTATGAAAAGATAAAAGAATACATAACTATTTGTAGTGCAAGATACATATAATTTATGACTTGTATCATATAACTCGAAACAAACCTGCTTTGGAGAAGATGTTGGTAAAATATGTTGTTTGTTGGTAGAGAGTATAGTGCCCATCTGTGCCAATGTTATATTTTTCGTTGGGCTGACATAAGTAGAAGAGGTATTATTAAGAAATTTAATCCCTTGAGCCGATTGATTTTCGCTTTGTGAACTCGTGATGAGAACTTGCTGAGTACCGGATTGTGATTGATTTCCTGTCAATATCATCTTTGTGTATACCTACAAAAAAATATTGTAATTTAATATCTGATACATTATTTTGCTAGATAATATTATTTTACAAGAATAACTCCATGTGAGAATGATTAGTGAGTCTCAAGTTCGATTTTTACAGTATGCTTCGGTTTTATACAAGATTGAAAGATTAAAAAATTAAAATTTTTGAATAAGATACATAATATAAATGTAACCTAATCCGGAAATTCATATTTTATTGCATTTTAAATGTATTATATGACTTTACGAAGGATTCTGAAGATCATAAATTCATAACATCTTACGTTACGCCCTTGCGAGACATTCTGTGTTGTCCGTTTCAACGTAGTTGGCTGCGAAAACTTAACATTCTGCACATTACTAATTGTGATGTTCCCAGAGGCACTAGTTGTTGTGACTGGCTTGGCAGGTTGTGTCCTTAATTGAACAACGCTTCCATCTGCGGATTTTCCAGTGATCAGAGTCTGTGCTAAAGATTGTAACTGTTCAGCTGAAGCTGTCGGAGGATGTGAAATTTTTAAAATTTGGCTGGTACCCTGTCCACTCACAGGTGACACTATCATAATAGACTGGCTTTGTGTGGTTGGACAGATGGTTGGTTTTACCTAAAGAGAAAGTTCTTGTTAATAGGTTATGGCATTTGAGCAGTATGTTAGAATTGTAACTGAAAACATTACCTGGACTGCTGACATTGGTACTCTCTGCACAGTGGGTTTTGTTTGAAATACAATATTCTGGTTGCTTTGATTGGCTAGTGTGTAAATGTGCTCATTCTGCACTTGCTCAGAAATTTCAGTCATCTCCACATCAGGTACTGTCGTATCAGTCTCAACGTTCTCATCAATTACTATCTGCTCATCCGTCATAACTCCCTCCGAGTTTATGCATTCCAGTTCCGCTTGAATATTCGCAAACTCCTCAAAGTCGTTTGATGTATACTGCTCGTTGCCGTGAGATAAACTCAGTGCACTGAGATCGCTATCTCCTAGTGTACGCGAATCCAAAGTCAAGGGTTCTACTAGAGCCCTTGTGTTTTGTCCCTTATTAGTGGACATGACGACAATACCTGAGCAAAAATATCAATGTCATGAAATAATATTCATAGCTTATTCTTATTTTAATAACTTATTGTAAGTAATGTCTTAAAATGCTAATATAGTCTTCTGATTGACTTATGACATTTTAAAATTACTTAAGACAGTCTCAAATATAAAAATCAACTGTAAATACTGGTCCTAATAACATAAATTTACAGTTAAATAAGTCTAATAACAATTGAATATAAAAAATAGTGTTAATAAAAATAAAAATTCCTTTTACAAAATTAAAATAAATACAAAATTGGGAAGTCGTGCAGTGGATTTTACATAACAATCTAAAAAAAGTTAAATAAATTTTTTGAGATTTTTTTTAAGAAACAGGACCGCTCATAAATAAATTAACTAAGTATGAATTAATAAAGTCACTTTCAATATTAAATTTTTAACTTATTTTTTAATTTATTTAGAAACTTGTTATAAAAAAAATTGGCTTCAAAATAAGACAATCTATTGTGATATGAAGAATGCTGAATACCATTCAGATAAATACAGTTAATCGAAATAATAATATAGTAACAATCACATTTACACACACTAGTCTGAAGAAATCCAAATATTTATTGTTTTATCACAAATGCAATTTTGTTTACTTAAACGAACGCAAGATCTACACGCTAATAATAATCACCTCGATTACGCCGCTCGTCGCCGACGTGGTGTGAATTTCAAAATGGTGTGGGAGCAATTTAAATTCGGTCGTGGATGTACTTTTGAAAAGTCGCGGGACGTTCATTCGGTCATTCACCCGAGTGAAGTTCGACACGAGCGTATATTCGAACACGCTGAACGCAGACACAAATTCGAACACGCTGAAGTGAAAAGCGGGACAGAGAGAGGAGGGAAAAAAAATGAAAATAAACCGAGAGTTCGGAGCGCGAAGTCGTCGTGGAACATCAGCGCCATTTCTCGGCGGTACGCGCCATTTTTGCGAGGCAGATTTTCGAGCGCGTATGCGACAGCTCGCTCAAGAGCGGCGTGCCGCGCCAAGCATGATAGGTCCCGGGGCCCGACGCGTGGCACGCCGACGGACGAGATGTCGCGGAGGACGTCGCGCGCGACGGCGCGTAGCTGAGACGGCGCGGAACCTAACCTCAAACGGAGTTTTCGTAGATATCAGTCGCGGGAGGGGGAGGGGGAGGAAAAGGGGACGACTGAGCGGAGTCGAACGGCGAAATCGGGGCTTCGTGGCCAGAGCACGATTCGAATACCGTCTGTCGTTCGAGATCCCCGAAATAAGCGACGTTCCCGGATGGCGGAACGGACTCAGCGTCGCGCGTATTTCGTCGTCCGGCACACACGTACCTGCGCGTTCCTTCGATAGCTCAAATTGTTCAAAATCACGCGCCCACCATTGCTGGCCCACAGTGCATCGCTGTCGCGTGTGAAAATTGCGGCTGGGGAAAACGAATGTTCCGCGCGATAACGCGGTCGATCAAGTTAATCGGGCGGAACGTGCGATGACAGAACGGATGTTATCGTGTGCGACGAATACGGACGGGACGCAGACACGATTTCGCGCACTTTGCTAGTCGTCGCGACATTTCTCGCGCTTACGCGGGCGAAGATTGAACTGGTTGACGAATGACGAGCTGGCGAGCAAGATGGGAAACTCCCTGCGTATCGTTGGACGCGACACCGTGGCGTCATCTGGCTAATGGCACGGGAGATCAATCACAATGGTGGCGCGCGGCGGTTCAAATTCGTTTACATGAAAATTGATCTTATACAATAAAGTCAACTTTAACCTGTTATAAAAATAAAATTTTGCTAAATAAACATTATAGACTAAGATGGTAAACTTATTATGTATTAAATAATACTATACAACGTTACAGAATTTCAATAAAAATCGTAATCTAAAATAAATTTACATCACTTTCGATCTACCAATCTTTAATGATATATTGGAGGAAAAGAATGTTTCTACAATAAGCTTACATTAAATATCAATTAGTAAGATTATTTGCGATCATAATTTCCGTGTTCGTGCTGTCATTTGTCTAATCATTTGTGTTTTAATATGGAGCATCCTTAGGAAGTTTATTACTTCTATTACAAACTAATAATATTAATTTTATATGAAATATGTATTAACATATTAAAAATGCACGTTGTTATCTTATATAATATGATTTATTATACATTAAAACTTTATTAAAAATTGTGTTGTTTTATTTTAGATATATCATTTTATATTAATAAGAGTAAAAAATTATAAAACCAAATGCGCAAAGAAAAAATAAAAAAAGTAACTAAGATTTTGAATCTACAAGTAGAATTATATATACTTTAAATTTATTTATCAACATAAAAGTATTTAAAAATTCGTTAAATATTCAATTAAATATAAAAGAAATATTTTTAACGACAGCACCAACGATGTACTGTTAAAATCCGAAAAAATAAAGATCCGACATACTTACGAAAGTTTGTGTCCCTTAATTTAGGCTATTTAAATTGAGAAACTGGTAATGCAGTACAAAGTTTATGATTTATTAAATAAACATGTATGTGCGTTTAAAATTTAATATTTTTTATTTAACATTGTTATTACAATATATATTATCGTCCAAGTTTGATTATCAATAGAGATGATAACTGTAACAAAAAAATTATAATTTTGCAACAATATATAAGATATAACAAGTATGTAACAGATATACAAGTATGTATATTTATTTATGCAGTATTTATATAATAAAAATTATAAATTTCATGATATATATATATATATATATTAGCCAAATATTTTTGTTAATAATTGCAAATTCATATTAGTTGTGGATGTCAGCGTTTCTCAATCATCTCCAAATACTCGGAATCCTTTTAATGAAGACGAAAATTTGCCCAGGTTTGATAACTTTTAATGGTATCTCTTCGGTGACGACTGCAAATTCATAATTTTGCCGCGCAATTGCGCACATAATTAAATAACTTCAGCTGCCGACTGAGTGCAGCACCTACGCGTCAGCAGATTCAGTGCGTCATCTTGTCAACAGCAATCCGACGTATTGCTGGATCGGCGTGTCTCTGAGTGCATTTCGCTGTGTCCATCGTTTACTGGGTCTTTCATCACGATGGACTCGATTCCGAGGACGCATAAAGGTTTCCCTCTTCGCTTAATATTGACTTTCGTTAATCACGTTCATGCAAACATTAATGTGAAATAAGTATCAGCTGAAAACGAGCGTCTGTCTAAACGCAGTTAACACGCTCGTTTCGCTCTGCCCAATGACAACTGTGCTTTTAACAGTATATAAACAATAATTCTGTCAGTGAATTATTATTATTATAGTTAACGTGATGCTTGGAGTATTCTTTACACTTTAGATTGAACGTCGAATATTTTTGAGATACGAAGTGTCAGCGATTTAAATTATCGAACCATCAATCGAACAAACGACTTTGCGTCGTGACTATTAATTTTTTACATACATGTTGTTTTATTTCGTATCTTAACTCATCAGCACTTACAATATCTTATCCTATTGAATCTATATATTTTTACTTATTATTACATATCTTTACTCTTATTACTACATTTTAATATTATGTTTTTGTATTAATTTGTATTGCAGACATCGAGGCGCAGATCAGAGAGATACAATCGAAGAAGAAGGAGTTGTTGAGTGCAGCAACTGAGAAGGAGCAGGTTGCTTTGGGAAAAACTGGTTTCTATGATCAGGATATATATGATAGTAGCAACAATAAATTTGATGGCTATGTTACATCAATTGCAACAAATGATGAAATTGAGGTACATTATTGTAATGTCTTTTAAAATATATTTATAGTTTTTAATTAGCAAATTTTACTACTATTAACAATATTTTTTATTCATTCCTCTTTTTTTAAAATGAAGTTTATATTACAAAACATAGTTTGTAAAATTTATGTAGGTGAATCAAACTTTTATAGTTTATTTAGATTTTGTTTATATATAGGATTATGATCCATTTGCGGACAAACGATTACCCACCTTAATTGATAGAGAAGAGAAGGATTATGATCCATTTGCGGATAGACGACGACCTACCATAGCTGATAGGGAAGATGAATATAGACAGAAAAGACGTAGAATGATCATTTCTCCTGAACGTGTTGATCCTTTTGCTGAAGGTTGGTATAATTTTTTTGTAACTTGAACTTTAAATTGGCTGCAGTAATGAAATAATAAAAAAACTATTAATTAGTTAGACAAACATATTAAATTATTGTTATGTATGTGCATATATTTTGCTTATTCAAGTTGTTAACTTAAAAATTATAATCAATTTCTTTTAATTATAGGTGGTAAAACACCTGATATTGGTTCTAGAACATATACTGAGATTATGCGAGAGCAGATGCTTAAAGGTGAAGAGACAGAAGTATGTTCAATTTTAATATTATATTTGTTGAATACAATGTACACAAAAAATATAAGAAATATTTGAAAGATAAATATATTAAATATATTTTTAATCACACACACATACAAGCGTTTTAATATATATTTTGTATTTTCACACAGCTGAGAAAAAGATTAGCAGAAAAGGCAAAGGATGGCACTTTGAAAGCTAACGGCGAGCCTAAACCAGCTCCCAAAAAAAGAGGTCGTTGGGATCAAACTGATGATACTCCAGTGCAGAAAAAATTATCTGGTGCTTCAGCAACACCTACTTCTTGGGACAATGCAGATGTATGTTTGTCATGTTATTTTCACAATGCCTTAATTTTTTTATTTAAATTTATTATTTGAAATTGCAAATATCTTTAGAAAAACATCGACATTGATTGCATTTAAAGAGTGCACTATGTCTCAGTGCTATCATTTTATCTTTATTATTGATTAGAAATTTTTTAAAATGAATAGAATGACGCGATAGTGCTGATAGCGCGCTTCTCGAACGGAGTTATTGTTTTATAAATTATTTTATCATTTAGCGATTCTATTTCCCACACGCTTATTTACTCCTATTTTACTTCATTTAATTTGATATAACATTTTAATATTAAAGTGTCATCTAAATTCAATTTTTTCCTTTTGTTATAAACATTCTTTATACTGCAGGTAACACCAGCTGCTATTAGATGGGACGAAACTCCAGGTCATGGCAAAGGAGCAGAGACTCCTGGAGCTACTCCTGGAGTTAGTACGAGGATGTGGGATGCTACACCGGCACATGCGACGCCAGGAGCTGTGACTCCAGGCAGAGAGACACCTTCTCATGAAAAAGCTGTCACGAGTCGAAGAAATCGTTGGGATGAAACTCCAAAAACTGAAAGAGGTATTGAATTGCATTACTTTGCTACAAATAACTATAAAAATAATTGTAAATATAATTATAAGATTATCGGTACTAATTTTTATGATACAAATTTTGTATAATCAAGAAATATAACATATAAGTACATCAACATAAATATATAAATATATGCATAATACAAATACATATTAATTTTATTTTAGAAACACCTGGACACAACAGCGGTTGGGCGGAGACTCCGAGAACTGATCGAGTTGCTGGGGACTTGATACAGGAAACTCCAACACCTTCGGCGAGCAAAAGACGAAGTCGATGGGATGAAACGCCATCGAATCAAACGCCAGGCTCAATGACACCACAAACTCCGGCGACACCTCTTGCAACGCCCCATCAAACGACAATATTGACTCCAAGTGCCGTCACGCCGACAGGACCCAAGGCAATGGGTTTGGCCACGCCAACCCCAGGACATTTGATGTCTATGACTCCCGAACAACTGCAAGCATATCGTTGGGAACGCGAGATAGATGAACGAAATAGACCCTTGTCTGATGACGAGTTGGACGCTCTATTTCCTCCTGGATATAAAATTTTGCAGCCTCCAGCAGGTAAGACAGGAATATAAGATCAATATTTTTCTAGCACTTTTATCTATA